TCAAAGAGAAAAAAAAAACAGGTTTACAAAATTGAATGAAGAGATCCGAATATGCGAGTTTCGTCATTTGATGTACGATTTTCGTAAACACGAAGCTAAATTCAAAGAATATTGTTTGAAAGTGATCCAGTTTCACGGTATTTCTCGATACATTCCATAAATATTTTTGTATTCCAAACTAATGCATACAAGCAGACAATAATAAAATATACAAATAATATAAAGACAGTAGCGTAGCACACTTTCCGCCCTCCTGTACGTAAGCGCAACAAAAAATGAAAAAAAAAACCACGAGAAAAACAGTTATCGCAATATTCATAATTTGCCAAATAGATAAAAAGTAGGACGCGTATCATTTTATACAGTTAGTAGCATATTTTTATCGTAAGCATTGGTGAGGCAGTTAGACTATCTAAGCACCGGCATAAACTACTATCCAACGTTTACAAATACGAGAGATATGTTGGGGCCGACTTCTAAAGTTCGATGGCGTAAAGGAAACCGAGGTTGGTTATAACAATTTTTAAACTTTATATCGTATTTAAGTTAATATCTTTTACCTTTATAGCTGTATTTCACGCATAAAAATGCGTATAAAGGCAATATTAATTGGCCTATATTATTTTATCTATATCTATTATATATACAGTATGTATATATATATGTATGTATATACTGTATTCCGGAACATTGAAAGTGAATAAATGGTGATTCCTTTTTGAAACAGACTTTATCTTCAAATTTATTTTTAAAATACATTGTCGTTCGACAGAATTCTACAACTGATATACTGTATAAGGTGTGTTTCAAATTTATACGGACACGAAAAAATTAAAGTGAAACACAAATTTGCTGCATTAAGTGACAAATGTTTTATTAAAAATAATATGGATTTACATGTTTCTACACTGCAAAATAAGAATTTTAATCAAACATTAATATTTTGTCACTGAAAATAATATTTTTGAAAATCATATATAAAAAAACTGTTACATATTTATCCGGACAGGCACTCATTTTATGACTTAAACAGAATATTGTTTAGTTTCAAGCATTGAAATATGCAAATTAGCTTACATATCTAATTGTAATACAAATTCTTTACGTTGTTCAACGTTCTAAAATGGGTAGAACAAAGAATTTATCTGATTATGAAAAAGGGCAGATTGATGCCTATAAATCACAAGGCAAGTCAATAAGAGAAATTGCAGCATATATAAATCGTCCAAAATCAACTGTTGGTGATTATTTATCAAAAAGACGTGGC